GCTATTTGGTAAAAGCCCACAATTTGCCAAAGTGGTTAATAGAACACAAATATAGACATTTCATGTGATGTACCATGTAAATGTAAACCTTTGTAGTTACATGTTTTTGTAGCAAGAGAATTGTTTTAAAAGGCATGTAATTTATTAGCTATCGGTAGCTTCTTTATTGCCTTGCCGCGCTGCAGTAATAAATAAAAGAAAGTGAACTGATTTTACAAATGGCACACAAGGTGCACATTTTGTGGGAAAAAAGTCTTTTTTTAAAGAATTGGCATTAAATCCTTTTTTTGTGATGACAAAGAGGCTAAGAGTGCAAACTGTATTTTCTGTTTATCGAAAACAGTCTTTTTTTCTCGGGGGCATTTTTTCCTATGATCATCAAGGGATTTCAAAAGCAATAAAGTGTGGAATCATTGTTCGACTTGAACAGTATTAAAACTTAGGTTTTAATTTCAGTGAAGTAATAAGATTTGAACCTGTCTCACATTACAGCACTGTAAGGCATTTAGCAATTGTATTTTAAAAGAGGTTTTTAAGATGCAGCTCACTTGTAAGCTAACTGTCTGTCAGTAATTAATAGTTTTTCTTCAGCATAAGCTGTTGTGATCAGATCAAGAAATATCTGGGTTTTTAGTAACACATTATGATAATTGTGAGTGTTTATTCTTAATTAGTCTAAACATCTAATAATTTTCAGCTTCTCTGGCTGCTTAAAAAGAGAGAGTGACGTTTAAAACTACAGTGTGTCTTTGGGCTTTTAAAAATATGAACGTACATGCACATGTATATTTCAATAAGCTTTACACCCAGCAAGATTATATATCAGTTGACTCATTCATTAACCAGATATTTTATCCTTCAATGTCATTTCCTTGTTTTTAGACATCACATCTGTGTATGTAAAAAATGTTGCCAGATACAGTACTCTATGTACAGCTTAACCCAAACTGACAATCTGGATTCTTCAGTACTCAATATTGAAACTTATCATTACTTCTCAAAAAAGGCTTTAAAATATGAGCATTTCTATTAGATCAATGTGGCAACATACTTGCTGATGAAAGATTGTAGTTACCATTTTGAATTGCTATTGAAAATAATTGCCTCTACAAAAGGAAACATCTGTATGATAGCACATGGTTAAAGCTGCCATCAATTTTTAACATTTGAGGGTTGAGCTATGACCTTTTATGATGACTGTGAACAGTAACTGCCTCCATTAGCCATAAGTTTTGTTTCTTTATTTTAGTAGATGGCCTAGACTGTAAATATTAGAGAATCTGAAATAAATCAACATATTATCCTAAGGATACAAAATGTAAGAGCTATTTGTGGTTGGGAACCTTTGACAGATAGTTTGGATGAAGCAGATGATTGCCTGCCCAGCGTATCTGGTCTCCATTGCTATGCCTGCAGGCAGTTTAGTGCTATGGTTGTATATTGATGTCAGGGTTAGTACTGAGTGGCTAGCAGTGACAGATGTCTATAATTACAGGCAATGCTTCCAGTATTTCTGAAAAGCCAGCCTATGTTGAACAATTATCTTATTTCTGCCTTGCCAAAGAGCATGTTCCAATTGCTGGTATTAGCAATGGTGAATATAGTGCTTCATCTGCTGCCTTGGGACGAATGTGGGAAAAGCGCTTGGTTATAAAACATAAATGCAAAATATTTTTTCAACATTTTGAATTAGTTAAGTTCAGTGTTTTCCTAATTTTTATCTCCCCATAATGTTTCTGTTGAAGGAATCTTGAAATGATAAAAACACATTTGGCATACTTATTGGGATTTTATCCCCCCCTAGGCCTGCGTGGCTCCCCAGCGCCAGTATCGTTTGCTTTACTGAATAGATGTGTTTAAGCAAAGTTGGCTTTGAAACAACTTTCCCCAAGGTGAATTACATTTTCTTATTGACTCCCATTACAAAATTGGAAGTACATTTCCATGGGAAGACAATTTCCCACACTTTTTAATAAGGAATATTATAAAATGATAGACAATGCTGAAATGTGTGAAACAGCTTAGTACGTTGGTAGCTTTACATTTGCTGAGAATTGCAATTTTCAACTTTTGTTTTGACCCTAAGCCTTTGGCCTCTTATTTTCCTTTCCCTTTTCCGAGTGTTCATGACCTCTTCCTTCCATGCTCCCTCTTGGCCCACCTTCCTGACTCATTAGAAATGTTTTCATGCTTAATGGTCCCAGTTCTCAACTTTTTTCCTGGTCATTTGTGTTTGTGAGACATAGACTATAATATCACATTCCCAGCAGGTGCAGCTAAATACTCTCCAACCTTAACATTCTTGAAGTTCCTAGAGTTCAAGGGACTGGATATTAAAACATTATCTATGCTGTAAGTTACTAATTCTGTATTTTCAGGTAATATAGAGTGAGAAATTCCTAGGAAATATCATTTGAGAATATGTTTTATCTTCAACCTTAATCTAACCTGTACTGTGTTTCTACTTTGTGCTTACCTCTACTTTGTGAAGTTATCCATCACATTTTCTCATTTAGTCTTCTCAGCAATATTCTATTTTGTAGGTATGATTATCTTTGTTTTAGGGAATATGAAAAAGATTTCAGAAAGTTTAAAAACTTGTTCAGTGGCAGTCCCTGGATTTGGAACAATCCATCATACTCTAAACCCAAGTTTGCTTTCCACTGTGTCACATTGCCTATGTATGTATTTTGGCATGAGCCCAGGCATGATCAGTTTTAGTGTAAGACCGTCATCACAAGTTTCATCTCCATATTTGCTGTTTTATTTCCCAAGGAAAAAACTCATCTCTGCAATCACAGATTGGACTGCTAGTCCTGGCTAGCCATCAGTCACAAGAGAACTAAGCTAGATCCTAAATATTCAATATAATCCATTTTACTATAGGAGAAGCAACTCAACCCATAGTCTAGTGTCAGAGATCAATATTATATTCATATATGAAAGGCAGACCCTTTCTATTCTTGCTTGGACCTATCACACAAAAACTCCTTTGATAATTTAAAACTCTTAATGTTGGTGTTTTGGAACCCAAAGATTGACACGTCCATTGCCAATCTTCCTCACCAAAAAAAAAGAAAAGAAAAGGACTGTAGTCTGGGTGCATGCCTCATAATCTTAATGTCAGACTAATGTTTGACAATGTATTACTTAATAATAATAGTGGCCATTTACTAACCACCTATTCTAACGGCTAGTAACTAAATTCATTTGGTGCTTACTGTGTACCGAAATCTTTCCAAGTTTTCCTAACACTGTGTTAGCGGTGCTATAAGTAATATAACATTTGATGACAATAATAATAATAGCTAACACTTACAGAAATTTTCCTATGTGCCAGGACTAAGTGCTTTACATAAAGTAACTACTTTAATCCTCTCAAAAATTCCGTAAATTAGGTCCTACTATCCTCAGTTTTTATTTGAGAAAACTAAGGTTTAAAGGGTAAGCAACTTGTTCAAAATCGCCTAGTAAGTGGTGGAATCCAGCTAGTCTTGGGTTTCAGAATCCATCCTTAACCAGTTGACTGGACTACCTCCTAATTTGTGATATTACTTGTTGTGATATTATTCTTTCCATTTTACAGATGAAGAAACTGAGACTCTGAGATGCTAAATAATTTAACTAGGGTTAGAGAGTTAGTTCATTAAGCAAAAATATTTATTGAATGTGTGTTATCTGCCAAGCACTGTGTGAGGCTAGCAAGTAGCAGAGTCCCACTTAAAACAGCATGTGCACTGCATTCCACATGCATTCTATGTTTCCTCCTAGTTTAAGTTACCTAAAATATGTACTCAATTAACTTGCTCATTTCTCTTCTTACTGAGAGGAGAATATGTTTCTTGGGCAACCACGTATCATCTTGGTCCACCAATTGGGCTTTTGCATATGTTATAGCTAACGTTCAACATAGAAGTGTCAGTAAGAAGGCTAGGATGGAAGCAGGAGTTAGCCTATTGCTGCAGATATTGTCTGCTCAGAAGAACCAGATATTAGTGTTTGAAGGAGTTAATGGACCAACAAGAAGTGAACTCTGATCCATTGCATTTGGGGTAAAGTTAAAGTTTTCACTAACTAGGCTAGTGTGAGAGACAGGAATTGAAAGGTATAAAGGGACTATAGGAACAGCATTTTTAGTAAAATTTGAGAATATAAAGAAAAGAGCTGATTTGAAAGAGTAGTAAAAATATAGATGTCTTTGACCTCCCCCTGCCTTTTTCATTCCTTGGGCCATTATTCCTCTACTCTTCATGTCAGGTCGTTCTTCCCAGAGGGACAGAGAGTTGACTATCTCTTAGGAGGAAGGTACAGAAGTTGTTTTAGTTGTAGAAAATAGGACATGTTTCCAAGAGGCAATGTGGAGGCCGATATATTAATAGGAAACATATGGATAAAATAAACGTTTGAAGTAGAGATGAGGACCTGGGGAAGCTCTCAACACGCACTATAACTATAATTTGGTATGCTTAAAGAGGATTTGGGGGAGAGTGTGAGTACGAGAATTGCATTAAGTAGGGGAAGACTCAATGATTTACTTGCTTTCTGAATGACTACAGAAATGAGTTCCATTTATTACAGGTGTACTTTCACCCATCAAAAAGTAACTTGACCTACTTAAATCATTAGCTCCAGTTGCTACACTTGCATAATGAGAGTGCCTCATGGGAAACAATGGTACTAAGAGATCTTAAAAACAGTTCTGTCAAATATTATTTATAATTTGTTCTTTTTAAGGGCTGTCCTTTAGTAATCAGTTTCTTGAATTATTCCATGGAAACAAACCCATTGTAATCCGTATAACCACATGCAGACTTTGAACAGCACTTAACCATGCCACTGTTCATTGCCTCCAGAATAAAATCAAAGTCCCAAGAATATTTTAAGTGACAGCCACAAAGATCCTGAGCCACATTTTCCCTGTATTTGAAATTGGGAAGGCCTTCTGCTCTTCTCTTACCCCTGACGCTAGGTGGCAGGTCCCTAAACTCTGTGCTTTTTAGGTTGTACGCCTGAAGAGTGATGTGTCCAGAGTTCCAGAGAAGGCTTGGAAAATAGTTAAGGTGAGTTGAGTTGCTGGTTGTTGTGGTGGATCACCAGTCTTTATGCCTGTCTCAGCACAGCCCCAGATCCTTATTACCAAAGTAGACACGTGCTCACAGTGATTAGTATAGGGGTACATTGTCTTGGTTCCCTTTTTTATACAGTATGTAATCCTACAGTGTGCATGGTTTATAACCAAATGTTCAATAGTCAGCTAAGAAGCAGTGGTAACTGCAAAGACTGTCTAGTGTGATTGCATAGTGTGAAAATATCCCAGGTTTTTTTATTATAATATTTCTGAAGTGGCCAGTTCTAACCAGTTATTCAGACCTGAAAGGAAACAGTTTGATTTGGCTACATTGAATATCATCTGTTATTGAACGGAATCTATAGTACATTTATCTCTTGTGCCAGAATATGTTTCTGGCTGATAACTTTCAGAGGTGTGGAGGATTAGAATAAACGGAATCTTTTATTTCTTTATTCCCTACCTCTACCATCAGCCTGTCACAAACTTCATCCAGCATCAACTTCTTTGCTCCAAAATCTAGTCATCTCATCTTGTAAATTTGCTGTTGCAAAGAATTATAAATAAAATACCTGAAATGCCGCTTTAAACCATGGTCTCAGGACCTTCTATCAAAGTTAGTCAAGCCTTCTTCCAGTAGCCTTGTGCCATAGCTGTGGTTAGCTGCTTCTTATATGGGCTTGGGAACATAATATATTACCCCCGGCTTTACCATGGCTTTAGCCACAGAAGACTAGTTTAACAGAAGCTTGGCCCCAGACATGGAATGAGTTGGCAGCCAGCAAGAGCAAAGCTGTGTCAGGACAAATGTACACTCCCCATCTTCTCTAGTTGGCTTTCAGCTGGTTGCACCACAGGAGTCTTTCTATGGGCCGTGTATCCTGTGACCAATAACTGGTGCACTCAACCCAGGTCCCTCTTGGCTAGTGAAAGCCTGTCGGGAGACATTAGGTTCATGCTGGTGAAGATCCTTAGTCAGTGGCTCCCTGAAGGAAAAGGAGGCAAACAGCCAGCTTCTGTTGAACAGGTGGTAGTTAGACCTTAGATCTGGTCAAGGTTGGGAAGGAAAGAATCTCTCCAAAATTACCAGTATTGCTGGTTTTCACACTGTACCCGTACGTCTCTTTCTAATAAATGATTGTTTAGAAACTAGTCTAAAAATATCTCTGGCAGCATCTGGAGTCCTTCCTTAGCAGTCTGGATTTGGGCCCAAGTTAGGAATGGAAACCCCACTGGGGTGCAAGCAAAAGAGGAAGCATGTTCTTAGCCATGCATCAGTGGAGGCCCCTACTGGGAGAGGGGATTATCACAAGGCAGCAGGCAGCCCTGCACCCCAGCCTGCTGAGTTCATGCTTTGTGCCACAGGATGTGGAGCGAAGGAAATGTGAGGCCAAAGTGGTCGCTCCAAGTTTTCTTATACAATGGCTTATTCAAGCAGATTGGGAGTGCCTCTTAAGAGATTTGTTAGGTACATGTCCCCTTAGCAAGATGACCACCACAGATGGTGGGTTCAGATATTCTAACTGAAATAAATACTTAACATTCATATTTATTTTATATTTCCATAGCCAGCTTTTCTTTATCAGATGCCATTCTGTATTCCCCTGGATGAGACAAGCAAATTCGTAACCTTTTACCGCTTGGTTTCCAACATAAATTATGGTTCTAAAATTAAATTCTGGCAGAAGATTTTTTTACCGTATTTTGGCCCTATATTTTGTAGTGTTATTTTAAATGATACAGAAAAATTAGCCAAGATTAATGTGGATCTTTTCAGTACCACTGAGTTTGTGTATTTAATATGTAGCAATGATGTTTGTACCATTAATTCTCTTGATGTGGTCATAGTTAATTGTGATGATCGTGTTTTATTCTGCTTCAGACATTAATGAAAGAGCTCAGTATCTTTAGTTCCAAACGGTTTAAATCTAAGTCATTAAATGCTCTGTAGTTCCCTCTCACACCTCTTCTTCTCCTCCCTCCCCTGCCTTTCACTTTAATGGGTCTCTCTTACAGAAGGCACTGCATTGACCCTAAGGGCACTTGAAGCCTAAGACAAAAATATGTAAATTGGTTTCTTACTCATAATAAGTGAGTTCACACTCAGTTCCAAAATTCTTTTCCTAAAGAACGTTAATGCTTTCATTATATTGGATCCTTCCCAGTGACAGGTTTTGTTTTACCAAATTACAACCGGTTAAAAATCTTGATTGATAAGGCATTTCAATAGATTGAAACAGTACTTTAAAATTCACAACAGTTGTCGGGGTTTTTAAAAACTTTGTGGTATCAATTTTGTATTATTGGATGCTAATTTTTGAGAATAAATTGGTTCAGGAAAGTATATCATCTGATGGCAGAATACTTTGTTGTTCATTTCCACAGCACTGCTAATTTTCTGCATTGAGCCTGCTTATAAAAGCTCTTTGAGAAGTTATAACATCTTAAACATTTATAGAAGGCCTAAGGGTATTAACTTACTGTAATTTTCTGAAGATTCATTATCCAAAATCTTAATTCATTATAACAACTCTTATGAAAACCTATAGAACCAGTGTTTTCTCTTATTTTCTTATTTGCTCAGAATGAGAGATTCATTGTTCTTTTTAATTTGTTTCATGTGGTGCTTTTGAGTACATTTCATAGAGGGCTGTTATTGAATTTCTGTGACTGTCATTATATATCCATACAACCTTTAGGAACTAATATTCTGGGTTTCCCAGTTCTGTAATCTACTTCAAATTTAAGGATTGACATAATTAGTTTCTTCAAAGTTATAACCAGCATGTTAGAGACAATACTGCAGATACCCAAGACCAAGGATTAGGATTGGAATGAGAAAGCAGTTTAAAAATTATCGCAGCACGTGCTTTTATTCTTTATTAAGTTAAATTTGCAACTCAAAATCCTATTGCTATTTGTGTGTTTATTCCCTTGTGTGGTTTTCTTATCTTGTCTGGCTTCCCTTTTGAAAACCAGACTTAAGATCATGTAAAGTACCTGCACATGCACTGGCAGTATTCGTCATTTGGTTAGTTGAAAAGTTAAGGGAACGCATTGGGTCATTGGAGCGTTATGTACATATCCAAATGCTCTTTTCTGACATTTAACAGAATCTTCCCAGTAAAATAAATAGAGATAAGAAAACAAACATATTAAAACAGTTTTTTAGGAGCATGCCTTCCCAAGTCTGTAATAGTGATAATTTCTTACATTTCTAACTATTTCCTGTATTTCAAGAGCTAGGGAGTTGGCTAACTGTTAACTGGGTAATTTTTCTAGCTGCTAAGGCAAGACCTAGAAGTAGAAAGAATTTGGTTTTGTATCATGAAATTTTGAAGATTTGTGCCTTTAACAAACGCCCTTTCTGACCGTGATTAGAGTATGTTCATTGACTGAATATAGCTGTAAAGATTTCAAAGTTACTACAGATTTTAAGGTTTTGTTTGTTTTAGCCTTCTCTGTGCCATGTGAAAATCTTCAAGGTAAGCCCCTTCTTACCATTCTGTTATTTTTTATGTAACAAGTCTTCTCTTGAAAAGGTGTTAGCTACAGTTTGAGCACCTGCTGTGAGAAGGGTCTATGAAAGGGGAGCAGGAAGGGAAGAGGCGTTTGTTGAATAACTACTCAATGCCAGGCTCTGTGTTAGGTATCATCATTTAATCTTCCCAAAAGCCCATAAATTAGGTATTATTAATTATTCCTGTTTATAAATTATTAATTATTCCTCTGAGTATTCAAAGAAGGCGAGCTCTTCTTATTGAATCTACAGGGAGAGCTTCTTCAAGAAATATTATTTAAGCATTAAAACCACATCTTTTTAAATAACAAAATTTTACCAGTGGTCACCTCTGGTGAGTGGAATTTTGGACATATTATTTTTACAGAAAAAAAGGTCTGTATAAAAAAATGCCTTTTTATGGGTTGTTTTCCTCTTGTTAAAAAATTATGAATGAAGTAGAATTAGCTAAAATGTGCATTTTAGCGTTATATTCTTTTTACTCATTTAACAAACATTTGTTGAGTATTAGGCCTGGGAGATGAAAGAGCATCATCTCTGCCCTCAGCAAGCTTGTGGTGTAATAGAGAAATACAGGCATATTAAAAAAGAAAGAAGAGAGGGAAGAAGACAGTCGGACAGGCAAACACTGGGTGATAATTTGTGCATCTCTGATTGTGTGGAACACATAACCAAAGGCATAACCATTTGTTTAACTTCGTTGTATCCTTCAGAGAAGGGTGGACAACACGAATGGGCTTTGTCTCTTATTTCTTAGATTTTTGCTTATTTTTTGCTATGATCAAATTATCATAATTGATTCTGAAATAAAAGATTAGGAATCTTGAACTAAAAGTGAGTTTTTTCCTCTTCTTGCATTCCTTTGCCAACTCCTGTATCCTTCTTTAATGATTATTGTGATGTAGTTTCTTCTTGCTGTCATAAAAATTGCTTTTGGTTAGGGGCCAGCCCCGTGGCTTAGTGGTTATGTTCAGCGCACTCCACTTCAGCTGCCCAGGCCTGGTTCCCGGACACAGACCTGCACCACTTGTCAGCCATGCTGTGACAGTGACCCACATACGAAATAGAGGAAGACTGGCACAGATGTTAGTCAGGGTGAATCTTCCTCAAGCAAAAGGAGGAAAATTGGCAACAGATGTTAGCTTAGGGTGAATCTTCCTCAGCAAAAAAAAAAAAAAAAAAAAATTACTTTGGGTGAATGATAAAAGTTTTAATGTTGAAAAACCCTAAATATTGTGTCAGAATTTTTTCTATAGAAAACTTTCATTGACTTGTGTTTTATGATAAACAGTTCTATAGGTATTTCCTCACTGGACAGATAGATTACTTCCCACCCCCAAGTTATGTATGTCTGTGGTATAATTAAATTCCAAGTGTTTGAAGACATTTTCATATTATTTGTGACTTCTCTGAATGATAAGGTGCCTTGGAAAATGTGAGACAGTCTTTAAAAGAAATGCAGTAATCATACATTGATTTTAAATGACCCTGTCACACGTGAAAACAAATCAGATTGTTGCTCTTAATGAGCTTTTCAATTTACTATTCAGTAGATCAGATAAGTGGATTTAAGAGGTAATGATCCTGTTTAGTACTCAAGCTTGACTGTCAGATCCTAGTAGTGGAGAGAAATCCCTGGAGACAAAAGCATTGACACACTGCTAGATGGGATAATGGGAATCAAAGCTAATGGATGATAAAAGGAATGGTGCAAGTTACAAGGATAATTGTGGATTAAAGCACTGCCATGTGTCAATGTTGACTGTTTGTTCTATTATCTTATTGGGTCAAATCTGATGCTTTGAGAAACTGTTTTGACAGCAGAGCACAGCAGACCTGCCTGCCTAGCTTTCTCCTTCCTCTAATGCCAGGGACACAATAGAAAACTTCCTTGTAACAACTATCAATAAAAAAAGATATTTTTAAATGTTAAATTGTCTTAAATGTTTAAAATCACATTTTACTTATTATATTTTTATTATCCAATTGGCATGCATAAAATCAAAATTTGATTAATTCTGAGATTTGCCGTTAAAAAATAGCATATATAAAGTCTTGAAAATGTAAAATTTTGATTTTACAAAAATACAATACAGTCTAGTGGAGGAAATGGACATCCAAACAATTACAGTGTGGAAAGCACCATGATAGAAGAATGAAGCAAACGCTGTGGGACCATAAAGGAGAGTGCAACTCACTCTTCCTGGGAAGGCAAGGAAGGCTTCAGAGGAGATAATTTTTGAATGGGATTCGGGGGAAGAGGAGGAAGAAGGCTGATTCAGGCAAAATGAACAGCACATGAACTCATAGAGGTGTGAAATTGCATGAGAAGCCTCAGTGATCCATCAGCATTTCATTGTAGCTTCAGGTTGAGGGAAATGGTAGCAGATGAGGTAGGTTGAGGCCAAGTTGTGAAGGGCCTTGTTTGCCATCAATGTCAGATTTTCCAAGGAACCAGTTCGCTCCCATCCATGAGAGAGGTTTGGATCAGGGTGAGACAAGGGAAACTTCCCTTTCTGCTATTATTCTTCCTTTGAGCCTTTATGTGCTTAAATGTTTCTGATCATTGAAGATTGCTGGTAACTAACTTCCCTAGGTTCTCTCTCTCTTTTGCTCCCTCTTCCCCCAAAACACAGTGATCTTACAAACACAGTGATAGCTTCATTCTAATAAGAGATGAAGGCCTACTCTCATGAGCAGTCACAGACATAGTATTTGAAGTGATTTTCTCTGGGGCTCAGAAGTTAGCAGAAGAGGCAACAGGAACAATCCTCCTTTCTTTCTCTCTGCCCCAGCTTCTCCCCTCCACCCTTCTGCCCCTTCTTTTTTTTCACTTCCCCTCTCTACCCGCCTGGTTCCTTTCCCGCTCTCTCTCTCCCTCTGATTCACTCTACCAGCCTCAGGAGTTTCTGGTCATAGGACTTAGGCTGAAAGCCTGGAATACAAGATTCTGGTTTGAATAGTGTTTACAATCTGAATATGAGATCTCTGCAATGAACAGCTTTCCTCCCCTGTATAACCCTATAACTCTGGGTGATTTGTGGTGCCTGTGATTTTTATCTCACCTTCGCAACCTATGGCAGTATAGCAATCTAGTTTTTACATATGAAAAAAGGCAGAGGGAGTGAAAGCTAAGTTGCCATACAACAGGAAGTAGGCAGATCAGAAGAAAATGAGAGAACACAATCACAGAGGATCAAATCACAGAAGAGAAATCCCATACAGCTGGTGTCTGGCAGGGATAACCTGGAATCACACCAGAGCATCAGGGAGTATGGAGGTGTCAAGCCACCTCTTAGCTTTGCCAGGCTATTAGGGAATATTCCATTGGCTCCCCGTGGCATTTTCCCACTTGAAGTGGGATATGTGTTTATAAGCTCAATGTGGCTTCGGTTGGGACTCAAATGTTGCACCCCACACTCTGCGACCAACACTCCCTATTTGGAAGCTTAGTGGATTCCAGGCCCTGATGTATTCAGCAGAGAATCCCTGAGCCTGGAATTTCAGTTTCAGCATGGAAAGTAAGACCTATCTCTATATTTGGGGGAGCTTAATTGAGATAGATTTGAGGAGAATATCTATAAATTCTTTATCTTCCTCTTATTTTTGAAATCCTCATTTTTATAACTGTCTAACATAATCCTGAATTATTCGATAGTTTGCTGAAATCTGGAATAGATAGAAACTTTTTGAATGTTGGAGCCGTTTATTGAGGCACTCCATTTTCCAGCCCTTTACAGACGTATGCCCATCTTTGAGAAAGGGGTGGTTTACCACTTTGAGGGAAAAAAAAAATCTGTGTGGTGTGCTGGTAATAAATTGAGTTTGTGGGTGTCTGTGTCTCTGTATGTATTTAAAAATTAGACGTGCTTCCTGGAAGAAAAGGAGGGTAAATTTTTAAATTATAAAATTTAAAAAAATCCTGCATTGCTCTCCCCACCCACTCCCGACTACATTGTGGATACATCAATGCATTAAATCTTACATTTGATCAGTTTGAAAATAAATGTTGATGATAAAGCTTTTAATAATGAAATGTTTTCATGCAGGTATATGCCCGTATGTCAGAAGTCTTAGGAATAACAGATGACAACCATGTTCTAGAAACATTCATGACGAAAATGTGAGTTCCTGCTTTGGTTCTTTGATTTTTCTTTTGTTGTTGTTGCTTTGAATCTAATAGATCTTTTTACTGTGTTTAAATCTCTTCATAAATATTAAGTTTTTAGTAAATGACTTTAAAAATGATGTTTTAATTCTTAGAATACTAGCATTGTTCTTAATTGAAATTTAATTTCACGTATTTAAAATTCACCATCCAAAAGACATTGTTATTTGTTAAGGTACCCATACAACTGCAGTGTGCAGCCTCAAAACGTGGCTTTAAAAAGTTTACAGACTTTGACTCTTCAGGTCAATTGGGCAGCACTTTTTTTTTTAATTAATAAGAAAATACCCAATTTCATAGACCAACTGAAGAGATTATTGCAAACTGTGATCGTTGAGAGAGGTTTGATTGCCTTAAGACAAGGCATTCATTGATTCCAAATGGAACTTATAGCTATCAGAGACATATTCGTGGAAACTGTCCTTAAATTATCCTTGTAATATTAGCGGAATTAACTGCTTTCTAGTCATAGGCATAACTTTGTACTTTTAGCCTAAACGTGTATGCCTCCCCTTGGCATCCTCTTTATCAGTATAAACAGCACTGTCTTGTTTGCAGAGAACAAAGCTAGAGAAACAGTCATGATCATAAGAAGTGAGTTTTGGAGCCACAAGTTTGGTGGTTCGTTTCTTGGCGGTAACTTGTAAGCCTCTATGTGACTTCCTTTGTAACTCCTGCTGTCACTCCCTCTTTGTTTTGGTTACAAACTTAATGTTTCTTCACTGCAACAGGCAACTTTTTAACTTACAAAACTAGATTTATAGAATTATACACCATTTGGAGAGCAATGTTCATTGTTCATTGATTGTATGCAATTTTGATTGCACTATAACAAGAGTAGAATAGAAAATGTTTCCATTGGTATTTAAATCTGCTTTTCACTTGGTGAGTTATTTATAATTTAGGTGATCTAACTTACATGAATGCATGTGTATTTCCATGTTCTCCCTACGCAAGCAAATACCTTACTTATAATTAAAAACTTTTTTTTTTATATTTAGTGTTACAAACCTTAAATACTGGGGAAGACGTGAGGCTGTAATTTCAAGAACTCTTCAGTTCCTTAATGACCTTTCTGTTGGATATCCTTTTTACTACATATCTGATAATTTATATAAGCAACCTAACATGCATTCTATTGGTCAGGTATTTTTCTTGTTTATAATTTTTGCAAGTTTTTTTTTTAAGTAAAAAGCCTTTCGTCTACCTTTATCACATGTTTTTGAAAGATTTATGTTAGCTACATACTATGAAGCATTTGTTCAGAGTCACAACTGAATTATATGGATATATAGATTCCTAACTGGTGAAAGTTATGTTTATACCCACCCAGATTAATAAATAGATGGATAAGAAAGTGTGCAGGCACATGTGTTTTAGTCCATAATTTTTCCTAATTGTCAGGAAGTTCTTGTTTTACAAAGAAGGCATGTAACTAATTTTAAGAAGGTCAAAATGTTCTAAAAATAGTACCTTAGAAAAACTGAATTTCTAAGAGTAAATATATCTTCAGTATTCTTCATTTGAAAAGAATATTATTTTCATTAAGAGTCACAAAGGAGTAATCAGAAGAAAATTATAAGGTTTTTGACCACTTCTTTGATTATCATTCCCACCAAATCAATATCTTATTTACTCTAAAATAGGATTTCCCATTACACATTAAATGTTTAGGTTGCTCTCTTTAGCAGATTTTTCAAGTCTAAAACCAGAATCATCCTTTCTTATTAGATTATAGTTGATAATATTGTCATGTTTCTACCGATGAGAGAGAAGCATGTAGATTGTCTTTTATATGTTAGCTATCAAATATATAGGAGTTGTGAAAAATAAGTGTTGGTTTAGTTAACCACTAAGATTAGCTGATATTTTAATATGAAAATAGCGTTATGAAAATGGGTGGCGTTGGATGGAAATCTTTAATGTAGGTTCACTCCAGGAATATGTTTGTATTAGTTAAGTTTAAAATTGTGTTTCTTGGCAAACCATGAAAGATTTCCAAAGTATTAGACACCCACTTTTGTGCTGGAATTTAATATGCAACTTTTTATTGGAAAATAATCGTCCTTGTCTGGCAAAATCCACCATGCAATATTTCTGTTAGTAGGTATAATGCAATAAAGACAGGGAGGGCTATTTATCACTACAAATTTTGAGGATTTCAGGATTCTTTTTATTATTTTAATATATTTCTTTGATATTAAATCAGAAAAATGATAAATTACACCTGTCCAGGCTGTTTTTCCTTTTTACTGGAAAGTGATGTACAACCCAATTCCAGTGGTCATTTTGGCTTTTTAAGATATGTATTTTTTCTTATTAAAAAAAAAAAAACTCAACCTGTATTTTTTTTTAATAATAGTGCTCAAATACTCTTTATTTCTAACATATGAAGTGGTTTATAAGTACTTCCTAGTATTGCAAACTCTGGCCTTTTCACAATGAATTACTTTGAGAGCATATTATCTGGAAAGAAGCTGATCTTATTTTATAGCACATACCTATTGTTTAGATTCACCCTATTTTTTTAGATTGAAAGTGAAATCTAATATAAAATTAATTTGATTTGTATTCTTTTTAGTAAACTTTACATAATGCCTAATTTATTTGTACCTGCAGTTTAAGATATTTTTCCTCTCCCCTTATATCTTTATATATTCTTTAATCCTAAAATTATAACCTTTTATTTTACAAGCTGGTTATTGTTTTTGAGCACTTCTTCTTGAAGCTAATAAAAAATCATATTTTCAGAAAACATTAAATAAAAGTTTAAAAGCTGTAACATTTTAAACCAAGGGATATGAATGATTTCAACTTGGGTACATTGATTTATATTTTTTAACAATTATTTCAGGTTTGCATATTTAGAAATATATATTAGCTCAATTTGATTTCAGTGTTCAGTTATTTGAATTATAAATCATTATGTCCCTTCTAGCTGATCAGTCATGAAATATCTTTGAATTCATTTACATAATGGAATATGTGAGTAGTATATCTATTTCAGTGCAGTTGCTGGTTACCTAATGCATATTTTGTTATTTCCAATCGATTTCTTTATTATAATGTGTTTTTAAATCCTGATTTTAAAGCAATACATTATTTCCGTGTTAAACATAAGCTGGCACTCTTTAGCAATAGAAAGAATTATGCAAGATAAAAATCATCACCAGTTGGCCCCTATTAATGGAAACCTGTTTATATATTAATACTGAAAACATTTGTATTTAAAACATTAGTAACAAGTAAATGAAAAGCATATTATTTCACTGTAAAGTTTTTAAAGGTTTGTGGGATTACTTTATAATGCGTGTCTTCAGATACTTTTTGTTTTGTTTTTTCTGTTTTTATCTTCTTCAGAGTGAATCTTACTCAGTGTTTATGCTGCTCAAAGCCAGTCTTTGATATTCTTGTATCTGACCAGTTGTTTGAAAATTGAAATCACAAAGGATCCTCATTTTTAGGAAGTACTAAAAAAGCCTCTTGTTTACTTGTCTTAAGGTAGTAGTCTCAAACTTTAGTGATCATCAGAATCACTGGAGTGCTTGTTAAAATACAAATTGCTGGGTCCCACCCCCAGAGTTTATGTTTTAGGAGGTATTAGACTGAGGCCTGAGAATTTGCATTTTTAGCACGCCTCTGGTGATGCTGGTGGCTCAGGGACCATACTTTGAGAACGTCTACCTTAAGATAAGTAGAAAATAGAACTGGATGTCCTAAACAGAAAAGTCAGGAACTTCTCCCATAGACACTTCTTTGTACAACTTTGTCTTCCCTAGGAAAAGGCAGTCTTGACATTTTTAGAGATGGTCTACTTCCCTAAATAATAATGTGTGTGAGGATGCTGCCATTATGTTAAGCCCTTGGATTTTAACTGAAGAGCCTGTTGCATTTTACAGCAAAGTTTCTGTTTGCCAAATTTGAAGCATTCCAAATTGGTTAGGCTATTATCATTTTAAAAGCCAGTGGCCTTTTTGAAATAAAGTTTATGTTTTCCCATCAGATTTTTTGCACTGGGCATGTATTAATACATTTAGCAAATACATTTGAGTAACTTTTTAATATACTCTTTAAATTTCCAGAACTAAATTTCAAGAATTCCAGATTCTAAATAGCTTTTTATAACATGCACAGAGTTGAAATAGTTCCGTCCTGGGGCAGCCCTCCACAGTCAGGTTTAATACTTAGGGATCCTTCTCCCTCTTTGAAATGCTTTCTAGTCATAAATTCTGGTTTCTATCTAATTGGGGAAGGGGTGAGATTGTTCAAGTGATCAGAACAAGTAAGCTGCTGGGAAAACTGGAGAGCGAATAAGGATCATACAGAGCAATCGAATGAACTTCTTATTTTAAATGCTGGGCAAGAAGGAGGAAAGTTACATTTCATTCAGAATTGTGTTTGTTTATTAATCATTATTTCAAGTTTTCTTCCCTTGAAAAACAATTGATCCCTATTTTTACTGCAATTTGTTATTCAAATTTACAGCAGTAACGTCTCACTTTGGGTTTTGGATAGATAATAATGAGAAAGGAAATTTCATTTTCTATTAGGCCCTCTGTTGGTAGTTGCCCTTATTACATCATCCTCAAAGGTTTGAGAAAACACAAAATATCTTTAGCTTTTTAAAAACAGACCCCATAAAAGAGTTCTACATTAATTCATGAATTATCCAAACTCATTTTTACCCTATTGATAAGGTTAGCTTCAACAGTTCTCAGGATTAATAACTTCACCATGTTAATACACCATGTTATTGTATTGTGGGGCCCAGGACAAAATGAAAATGTGGGGTGCCTTGTTCATAAATTATTAAGAATTTTAAGACCTCAACAGCAAAGCATTAAACCAACCACAAGCCCTTTTAAGCACAGGACCCTGTGCAAATGTGTGGCTTACACAGCCATGAAGCTGGCCTAGGTTATCTGTTAAAGAAATAATTTCTTCCTTTTCACTTCAGACTAACTCTCTCTAAGACTTCGAGACCATCTTCTTAGTTCCTGCACACCAGGATTTGGTGAATATAATTTCTATCTGCATGCATCGTAAATCTAATTATCTATTAGTTTATTTCAGTTGTTTTTGTTTTGCAGGTCAGTCTGTTTCCTGTTCAAGCTACTTGATCACCTTGATGATTTTGTTTTTCAACCCCAAACCTCTTCCAGCTTCATCTTTTTTTGTTTGTTCTAAGTGCAATAACCAGAGCTGCATCCTTATTTACATTTAACATAGAATAAGAATAAATTAGTGATTTTTTAATTTAATTCCATATTCATCTTAATGATTATCTTACTGGCCTCTTTCAATTCAGCAAATATTGACTAAGCATTTGCTAAGTACAGGACAAAAGGACAAATGAGACACAGACTCTGCTCTACCCTCACAGATTTTAAATTCTAACAGAATGGATCCTGATTCCAGACTTCCTTTCCTGTATTTCTCCTAACAGCTCCAAGTCCATTGTTTTATTAATATATTTTCTTTTTCTTTTTTTAAATTTAACTCAAATAAATTACTAATTTTCTGAAAATCTACACATTAAAAATAATGTGGGTATGTGACATTTTGATATTGTGACTTTGAGGGAGCTCTTTTTCTTCAAGGTCATATTGGCATAGCTTATATACAAACCATTAAGTATACAAGTAATGTGCAATCCAGACATCCTCACCCTGTCACTGAGCTTCCCACCACTATGGTGTGAATCCTGAATGAGGTGGGGTCAGAAAAGAGGAGAGGATGAGAGATGAAACAAAGGTCTAGAATGAAATAAGGGTGAAGGATGGAAATCAAACTGGATAATGTCTGTTACAGGAAATATTTAGTAATAAACAGTAGTAATTCTGCTTTTGTGAAACAGTATTAGAATATATTGCTTTATTTCAGTGAATACCACCATCTCCAGATGGTTTTGAGAATGTTAAATAAAACCAGTTTCAGCATACATGCCTCAGGCATACTTCTCTTAACACTTCTCATCAAAAGAAATGTTGATTTATTTCTTTGTTTTCTGTCTCTATCATCCATGGGAAAGTCATCTCATAATTTATCGGCTCTATTTGTTTGTTTTTAGTCTAGAATAAAGTCTGAGAATCCTCTCAACTCCTCTTCTATAGCCCGCTTCACTCAGTTCTTTAGATTCTTGCTTCGCAAGATTACCTTTCTTGAGTGTTGTTTTTGATATGATCGTTTCTCTTCCCAAAAGCCCGGAAACACTTCCACTTGCCACTCAGGTCAAAGTGAAATTATTGATTTGAACTTGAGTCCTTTAAGAGTACTTGACCTATTGAATTCCCATAACTGATTTCCTGATCCACCACTCAACCACGATTTGTACCTTATGCTCGGGCCAAGGAGATTTACTTTACTTTCCCCTGCACACGCTTCCCTATCCTTCACTGAAGCAACACATATGCCTTCTCCTCATTGGACACGTTGTTAACTCCTAATTAGGTCTCTTTTAAATTTTCAGGTCTTGGAAAGATTTAGTAAAGCCATCCTAAAATAGTTATAATCTTTAGTTACTGTGTTAACTGAAAGAACATGAACAAGTCATTTAATTTCTCTGAGGCTCAGTTTCTTCATCTTCATCTTCTTTGTCTGTAGAAAGGGAATATTATCTATCTCGTAGGATTTGGTAAGGATTAAATTAAATAATAAATGTGTAACCGTGTATGTGTGTATCTAGCACTTAGTATTAAATAAAGCGCCTAGTAATAAAGCACATAGTACTACTGACCCTGTCACATAGTGGCTGCTCACTAAATACTAATTCTCTTCATTTTTGTTCCTATCATCTTCTATTTTTCTTAATGTTCCTGAACACTTAGTTCTTATCTATATATTTGGGCATGAATATAATATAGCTTAGTATTGACTAGTTCTCTGTCTTATTAGGTTGTAAATTATTAGAGATTAGGACTCTTTTTTTCTTTCCTCTGTAGTTTCAAAACTTCACATAATGGACATTTGAGCATACTGTTAATCCCTGTTATTGAGTGACTAAGCCTTAACTCCTATTCCTTGTAAGTAATCATTAGTATCCCTTAAGGTGCTTTGTTTTGGTTATACCTATTTGAATTTTTTAGTCTAGTAGGGTTCATGAACATAATCCTACCTTTGAAATAACTAATATTTCAGTAATGATAATTTGTACCTGTCACCTATCTATCGTATTTTCCAACATATAATTTTCTCATCTGTGAACTTTCTTCTATCATCAGAATCTAATTCTATCTGCAAAAACTATTTGTAAACATGTATGGCTTGTAACTAATTGTGTAAATCAGTACCGTCATCCACCCTCTTGTGCTTAGTGAATATCATATATCTAATACACTACTCCTTTGATTCTAAAACAGAAATTTCTTCACATTTTAACACTCTATAAATAAGATATGTCCTACAATCGGTGGCATTTTAAAACACTTTTTCCTTCTTAGTAGCATTTAAATGATGTTTTTTATAATCAGTGGTGTTTTAGGTTTGGTGAAATACAGTACAAACTCAGTAAAGGCTTGATACTGGGAATTAAAGTCATACTTGGTGCTACTGTGCCTATCAGATTTTGAAACATCTATGAGATACACCATTCTTTTAGCTTTTTCTAGCCTTTCTCCATTTGCCGTACTAGTTATCAGTAAGACCATCTTTACCTTCCTCGCTGTTTTCATAACCACATGGATATAGACAGGAATTTTCTGGGAGTTTTGTTTAGTGAGTTAATATCAGCCAGGCTGTGGAGTTTGCTCAGTCCTGGATGTGCTGAAGGCTCATTAATGAGTTGGTCCCTCCTAGAAGAACAGTTTCCCTGTTCCTTCTGGGACCTCGTTCCAGTTTCAGTTATACCTCAAGAAGCTAGTGATCTCTGTGGAATCACTGGCTCTGCATGTAAAGTCAAATGGAGATGATGAAACCTAGTGAAAAGAACTTGTACTTCAGAATCAGACCAACGAGGATTAGAATCTTGGCTCTACCATTTACATGTTCCATGTATGACCTTTACTAAATTTTCTTCCTTACTACTCTAGACTCCTGCTACTGTTGCGGTTACTGTTAACCACCATTACTGCATTTACTGTTATGACCTGTTCTGAATAGGCCTCTGAAATCTAACCTAGTACTGCCACCCAACTAAAATGCTCCCCACTCAACTAAAAATGGCACAAGTTTATAAGAAAATGGCACTAGGTTTAGAAGAAACCTAGTCTCTTAGAGAAGAATGAGATGAAAGTGTGAAGATCATAAAGATGATGTATACATTTGCCTTTTTATTTTAAACATTATAGACCCTCTTAAGGGCCATAACTGGCTTTGAATTGAATTCCTATAAGGAAATGTAAATATTCAGATGAACTCTCATTTTTTTTTCTTTACTGAAAAAAGTAAAAATTCATTCTTAATCATTTTTTTTCTTTAGAATGTAATTAAAAGGCAGTGAGGCTGGACTTGGCACAGAATACACAGATGCAGTTCTGCAGAAAATGTGTCTTTGGCAGATGAGATTCTTCCTGTGAATGTTCTGTTTATTGCTACCATAAATATTCTATTGTCAAAACATGACTTGCTGTTTATTAGCGGCACTGACAGGAAGATTCCTATTAATGGCAGCATTCTTATTACCCATAGATCCTGTCACTTTTAACTTTGCAATTCTCAGAGAATTGTATTTGGTAATTACTTAAGATATTTCTTAGTTTATTGATCCCTACCCCTGTTTAACTGGGTGAAGTTTGAGTGGCAGTTTTCTGTTCAGTGATTTACACTGGGAAAAATCAAATCTTCAGATTTGTAGGCAGGGAAAGACCTGCTACCTATCAGCCCTGATCTTGTTACCCTTCAGCCTACCAGGAACATTCCATGTATTGAGCACCCACTGAGAGCAGTGCACTGAGGAAAACGCATAGATGTGGCCCCTGCCCTTAGAAGGTTTACAGTCTAGTATGGAGATGGGCCAAATCTACATGCTTAATATGCAACTGGAATGGTCACTTTGGTTAGAGGGACTTGAATCTAAATCATACTAATTGATTGTCTTTTGGAAAGTTTTATTTAATTTTTTTGAGTGTTTTCTTATCTGAAAAATAGAAGCAATACTGCCTGTCTTATGAGATTGTGAGAATTACCTTGCAAGTAGTAAACTTTCCGTAAATGTTAATTGTCTGCATCTCTGTGTCTTCCTTCCTGACGGATAGTTGGCAAAGACATTTTCATCATCTGATCCTCACAACAATCCTGTAAGATAGCTTGGCTATAGGTTTCATCCTCATTTGTTGGAGAGTGAAACTAAGGCTCAGAGTGGCTGAGGAAAGAACTCAGACTCAGCCAGCTGATTGAATGGTGGAATCAAGCCAAAAGCCCAGGTTTCCTGACTCATGTTCCAGTGTGTTTTCTACTCTTTTGCACCCACACCTGAGTGACTAAAATTTAGAATTAGGTTTATCAGTGCCGGTTTATGGAGGCAATATATAGAGTTCTATATTTGGAGATGATGTGGAGGGAAGGAGCCAGTGTTTTCATTGGAACATGAATGGAGTCATATAAGATTATTATAGCCTGCAAGAAAGGTAAAAATAAGTATGTAGGGAATAGTCAAGAGATGCCCTAGTTATCATAGAAAACACATGACTAGAGTAAAGTAAGAGAAGATGTTCGTATACTGAATAGATGTACTTAGAGCCCACATCAGCCCTTCCCTGATGACAGCATTAACCAGAAATTATTTAGGCCTTGTGATCATGTTTATGATTTCTCAACTTTATTCTCATTCTGAGTTGAACTGTTCAGGTGATAATACGGCACAGTAGAAAGAACGTGGTCTTTGGAGTCAAACCTCAGGTCAAATTTCAGCACCATCAGTCCATAGCTGTGTAATCTTGGGCAAGTAACTTAATTTTTGTGAGCTTTTATTTTCTTATCTAGGGATTAGAAATAATAAATAATATTTAACAGTGTAATTGTGGATATTAGGTGAGGTAATAAATATAAAATGCCTTGCACCTAGTAGGTACTTGAGAATTATTAGATCCTTTAAGCCTGTCCTTCAATACTTGATGCCATGCAATCTGCTACATACTCCTAATTGTATTCTGATCTTCTTCATCTAAAGTAGAATTTCCTTAGATTTCTACTAACTGAGCTCATTGTTTCTTAGAATTGAATAATTTTCTTTCTTGGTAGCCTATTATGGGTCTTTTATAATTATTTTATTATGAAATAATATTAAGTGAATAGAAGTTCTCAAGTTACACCCAAAATGTAAAAAGGGTCAGTTTTAATTTTCTACTATCAATGCTTTAATAGTAAAGAAATTTTTATCTTAATTATAAAATTCATTTTTCCTTTCCATAACTAAAATATGTATAAGATAGGAAAAGTAATTGCACTGGTTAATAATGGATTACCATTCTTAACAGAATGAAAGACATTTCTATAGGAATACTCTTTAGAAATAATATTTATTCTTCATAAATAAAAATTGGTGCCATTATAGTTCAGTGTTATTTTGTCATTTATTACCTATTGATAAGACAGATACATTTCCCCAGATTCCTTAACTTCTATTACCTATATCCTTTTAAAAAAACTTGTGAAGATAGATGCTGTGAAATTCATGCTAAAAAATCACACGGTAAGTTTTGTTTCCTTTTCTGGATTTAGAATTTTCTGGATAGTTTAGGTAAAGCATTGGTAACTTTGGATGCTCTTTTGCTTTCATCAGAGTGAACACTTTCCCTTTCTTGGCATCAGTGACAGTTACAGTCTCAGTGACTTCAGGTGCCGAACAACCTTCTACACAGCCCTCACTCGCCTTCTGATGGTAGAGCTAGGTAAGGTTAAGAATTTAAGCTTAATTAATAAGGGATCAGCAATATACTCGTGTGAATAAAGAAGTGGAATACTAATGAGAGCATATTTAACTTAGAATTTGCCATCTTTGGCAGTTTTCTACAGCTTTCTAAGATTTGAGCGTTCACTTGTTAGCATCAGAGCCAAAAGAAATCTCTGTACTTAAGATGATATTTTTCACTTCAAGTACTACTTGCATTAATTCTTTACCCCAGAATTTATTTTCTGGATATCCTTTGATCCATTAATTTTACTGCTATGAATCTAGGAATAATCTTAAATACAGAAAAGCTTTACACACAAAGATTTTCTTTGTAATGACATTTAATCTAGAGAAAAATGGAAACAATGTAAGTGTTCAGCAGTCGGGAATTATAAAAATATGGCACATCCGCTTACTTGATGGAATAGTTTGTAGTCATTAAAAATTATGATTTTAAGACAATGCAATACATGAAATTTTATGTTATAATATTAAGTGAAAAAGCAAGGTGTTAAACTGTGCAAACAGTACAAGCATGCCTATGGGGTGGCGGACAATGCATTAAAAAAAAGACAAATGAAATTCTTCAAAAATGTTAAATGTTGTCTTTGGATAGTGAAGTATAGGTAACTTTTCCTCATTTCTGATTATTTGAAATTTTCTTTAATGTATTGCTTTTATAATGGGAAAAATTAACTTGTTTTTAAATTTCTTTTCATCAAAAAGCTGAAGTTAGCCAGAAGTATCCACATGTAGTCACTACCTTAGGATGGGCACATAAGCCTCTCTGTGGTGCCCGTGTTACTCAGGATTCCCATTTTACTCCATGTTTGAATACTGCAGATTAAATTAATCAGTTTATAGACACATGAGAGCATTCAATCAATGATGATATCATCCTTAGAGAATATAATACTTATGATATTTTTTCTTCCTTTCTCTTACAATGTATTGATTGATCATCAACTTAAATATGAATTTTTTAAAAACATGATCATACAAAAGGAAAAAGGATAAATTTATTTTGCATATAAAAGGCATTGAACCTTGTAATGGAAAGATGACTAAACGTTTCTCTACTTCACATCTGTATTATTTTCATGCAGTTTCAACAGAATAAATTACCAGAAAGACAAACAGCCAAAAGTTGAGAGAAATAAAACTAGAATGATTAAGGAGCTTAGCAGGATCGATTTCTAAGGAAAGAGTAAAAGAACCATGTACGTATAACTTGGCTAAGTGACAACGAGGGCTTGAGGCAAAGAGAACAGTCTATAAATATTTGAAGAATGTAAACCAGGCATGCAAAACCCAATCATCTGCTACCTCAGGCAAGTGGGGGATCTGACTGAGTGACAGCTTTGCCTACTGCACACTGGCCTGTATTACCTCTTGGCTGCTGCCTTGGAGAGAAGAGGAGCATCCCAGACTCTGTTATTGTCCTCAGTAATCATTTAGAGAGCACACTGTGCCGAGCTCTGAGGGCAAGACAGAGACCGATCAGACATGCTGGCCCCTGTCCTCAAGGAACTTGCCCTCTTGCTTTCCCAGTTGTCCAAGCATTAAAGAAGACCTTGAAATTCTTGTCTAGACTTAACTTATTTCCTAAGCCTTCAAAATGCTCTTTTAATGACCCTGTCAGCCAGGGTGAAAGAAATGGGGAGACCAAAGTTAAAGAGAACTAGCTGGAGGAGATTTCCTACAAATAAGTCCATGTCACACATGTCTTCAGGACCTGGAAATGAATGGGCCAAGGTCGTTTTTCATCTTATCATCATAGACAAAAGAACCCCCATAAATATGTGGTAGGTTAAACAGTAGGGTAGCACTATCAGTATTCACAACACTACTGCACTTATCATTGCATTGATAATTGCTAGTCATAATGATGCCCAGAAAGACCCTGATTGTACACTGCCTTTTTGAAGACTACTTTTATTTAGTATTGCCTAATGTAACAGTGAGGTATGAGAAACTGAAGTAAAAATCTATAAATTTGAATAATTAATAGGATTTTATAGGTTTCCCAGGATTAGATTCCTTTGAAATATTTAACCCATAACAATATAAAGTATAAATTAATATTTTTAGTTCAAGGTTTTTTTTAAAAAAGGTAAATATCTGTTACATTGCAAGCCCTTTTTAGATACCTTGAGAGAAACAGAAAAAGACAGGCTATGTGGAAGTGCCTTGTACATGGTAGGTGCTCTATATGAGTAAATTGAATCTGAGTATAGATAAAACTAAAAACAACAGCAGCTACACTCATGGAACTTTCACATTGTTTGAAAAGAAACTCCTTCCTTGTTTATCAGTGTTTTTTTACTTTTTTAAATAATTAAATGTATATGATAAGCATCAAGTGATGATTTGTGGTATGTATGAGCTTCTTTCCCTTGTTAAGAACCAGAGTTGCTCTTCTTCCCAAAATATGTTGAGCTCCTTCACGGAGACTTTGCCTTTTTCATGTGTTCTAGCACCAATCTCAGCATCTCTACCTTGTATGTGCTCAGTAAATATTTGGTGAATGAATGACACACAAGGATACTGTAACCAAGATGCCATTGTTGTGGCTCCTGGAATCAGCTCTGCCTGCCAGGTTCTCTCCGGGAGTCGCTTTGATCGTTGGCCTCTCCAAGACAAAACAAATCAGGTGGCTGATTACTTTCACAAGTGATTAGCTACACTTGGCCAGTCTTGTGCTCGATTAGTCGCCTGTTGCTCTCTGTTCAAAGTGTTATTACTTTATAGATGATCATTTGTTGAGTGTTGTTGAACACAGTTTTATTATTTGAAGCCTTGTCTCGCAAACTAGGTTGACTGGAACATTGCTGTCAGAATTTCTGTATATATGGCGTTATAGTTTTCTATCATGTGTTCACTGTCATGGAAACGAGGAAAAAAGAGTTAGTGCTATTGTCAAAAGAAGCACAGATCCATGTATTAAATGAAAGAAATAAAAATATTAGGTAATGAGAATTCTCAAATTAAACAAAGAAAAATTTGTAAAGGAACTTTTTATATCAGATTTTTTTGGGCAGGGGGAGATCAAATAGAAAAAAACTCCTAACCAACCTGCTTGCAAAGCTCTGGATATGATTCTTGGATTGAAATATGAAATGTATTCTAATTGAATCCTACAAAATAAATTAAATATGTTTTGTGTATAAGCCATGCACATTGGAGTGATTAGAAAAGGGGAAAGAAATTGGGTGTCACATTAATTGGTATTTACTTTGAAATGCATTTTGGTTTCTACTCAATAATTTGTACTTTGTATGAATTTAATTAGATGCTGTGTGCCCCAGGTTGTATTTCAGATGAAAATGGTGGATTTTTTGGCAATAAACAGTTGTACCACTTTATCAGTTTGTTCCGTGGCTAAACTAGACAAAATGTTCACTTGTATAAAGAACAAAATTGAAAGCATTTCATCATCAGAATGATGATGTTTCATGCTGGTAATGTATTTTTTTGTATTCTGGGCAATTATAAAAATTAATGCAAAAACTCCCTTCACAAGATAGCATATATACAGAAGAAAATGTGTGACCAACCATATGTGCATGCATGTTAGCCCTTCCAAGAATCACTTAAAGTTCCCTAGGTTATTTTTAAATTAACTTTGTCAATCTAATAAACTAAGGGAAAGATAATATTACCCAAGCCAGTAAATGGAGAACCTCCAGGGAGCTGTTCAGTATAAAATACTTGAATAAATAAAAACCTTCTATTTTGTTTAATTTGAATAGAGGTGAATTCAGTTGACAAATATTGGAGAGGGAAACTGTGGAAAGAACTACAGTAAGGCTTTTTGTTTTGTCGAGAATTAAATATTATTAGTTGCAAATTAAATTTTTACCAACCACAAATTTAGAATTGCTCAGTGTCACTAACACTTGTTTCTCCTTGGACATTTTATTATTGCACCCTATCTTGAACTACTCAGATGAGAAGCATATTGTTAGGATCTGAGTGAGCAATGCTTTCCTTAGATATTCGAACTCTAAGAAGCAGTCATTTCTTTTTTAATGATTACGGTGATACTAATATTAAAATGGTGTTTATAGACTTTCAAAAATAGTTCTCTCTTTAGGGATTAGGGTAGCATAGTATCCATCTACCTTTGTGGCTTATAACAGGTAATTGGCACCTGAAGATATCTCTAGCTTAAATTTGAGAAATTTTAAATAACAGGTAAATGAGTTGAATAAAAAGGAAAGAGTATTCTAGAAATAGCTACTAAAGATAGAAGTAAAAATAAACAGGAGAAGAAAACTTTGCTTTTCTTTATTAATAACTAACATTTGTTTACAAATGTCTAGTTTGCACACCACTTTCATACACATTGTCCTGTTTGATTCTCACAACAGCCCACATGAAATAGGTATTATTGCGTTGTTTATCTATTAGAAAGGTGAAGTACAGAGAGATTAAATGGCTTGCCCAAGATCAGTCGTGTAACTTGTAGCCCTCTGCCCACATTCTCATTCACTTTTGCTAAGCTGTTACTTCACCTTTCATATTCTCAATCAATTAGGAAATGTAACTTTTTCTTCTTTACTTTTATTTGAACTATTTGGACTTAATGATTGATTTGAGGCTTGGGGGGCAATGAGAAGATGGGAGAAGGGATTACTTTCCAAGCTTCTATCAAATAAAGAGATTCATGTTTATTATTTGCCCTATATAGTTTTATGGTCAGTGAAAGTCAAATGTAGTTTTTAAACTTTGTCCTTATGTCTAATAATTGGACAAAGCATATTTCTTCTCATGGATAAAGGAACACAGAAGTAGATATCCCAGGAGGGTTTAGCAAGTGAGAAGCTTGATCAGAAATAGCTAATGTTCTGATAGAAAGAGTACATCAGTCTATCACCTGTGTCCATGACTTGGCAAAGACTGTCTGGAAAATAGACATTTGGGGGGTGGAGGGAGTGGGCAATAAGGGGTAAAGAAGCAGCTGGAAATACTTAGAATCTATAATGAGATAATTAA